GGGGGGGGGGGAGAGGGCTAATCTTAGGTTGGTCTAGGAGACGCAGACTTCTGCCAGCTCCCTCATGCTGAAGTGTGGGAGGTCGCATCGGGGTTCTATGGCACTTACTCGTCTCTCGTCATTTATCCCAAACATTTCAGCGAATCGTCAACGTTCAATGCGTCCAACGGAAACGAATTACCAATCGACCGATGCATTTACTGGAAACACTACTCAAAGAACAGATTTCATTTCAAAGAAAGTCGACATTTGTCCAGCAGAGAAAGTGTTGAGCAGAAGGTGAACTTATTGATACCACTGTACTGGCACTCCTACCTTTGTCATACGAAATGTTTCAGAGATCGTACGTACGAGTTCACGAGAAGACGCAATGGCCACGATTTCTACTATCATCGGGTAACACACGGAACCCACTCAAATTCTACTCTCGTTCCAGTTGCATGAAATCGAACAACAGCACCCTAACGATCAGTCAATAATTTGGAAATAATAAATATTTGCGAATAGCATAATAGTGTGGGAGATATGAAACAATAATGAAGGATAAATAAAGACCTTCTGGTTATTCACTTCTGAGATGCGCCACGCATTCGACTTCCACTCAGAATCGTAACGACGTTTTCGGATGCGTATGTAATCTATACAGTAACTTGCGGAGGTCAGCCAATGCACAAGTCAGTGCTTTCATCCTCCCAGAAGGTCTGGCACTAAGTAACCGACGATGGAGGGATGGAAGGCTTGGTGTGCTTGAGCGGTTGCTGATCCAGGATCCGATCCCTGGACTACGCCTGCGATAGAGCTAGTGAGGTGCTTCTCTTCAACACTAGGTAGTAGAGCGCATGGGAGGGGTAGCCTACTAGCGAGCTCATAATAATGCTTAAAACCGTCTCTCAGTCGAGAAAATATAGCTTTTTATGTATAAGCTTTAGCAGGTAGGGAGCGTAGGGGTAGGCGAGTCAATTAATGTCCAATTCTTGCATCAGCCCAACTTTTTGTACAGGAAGTTATCTCACTAATTGCGGTTTTCCTGTTCCCCCGCCCCTACCCTGAGGCCTAGGTAGAAATTATACTCCTTCGGCTGAAAACCGTCCATCAGTCTGTGTAAGATCAGGCCCCTCCCTGAATAATGTAGGAGCACAATCCTCCCTGTCACATCCCGGTTTACATTTTCACCTAATCGGAAAATGAAGCATTTAATCCTCTGAAGAAGTAATACCTGATTTTCATGTAACCGGTTGCCATGTTGGTCCTATTTTGATGGGGTGGTGAAAGCTGTTTCGCCGTGTTCTTGTGCTTTTCAGTTCCGCCAAATTAGAAGGCCAACTTGATCGTCGTCCTGAATTGGCCGCTTAAAGCCGAAGAACTACATGTTGGTATTTCTCACTACTGGTTCACAGGGTCAAGGTAGCAGCTACAAAATGTTCGGAAAAAACTGGAGAGAAACACAGAACCTATTGGCTCACCTGATAGTGACAGCGAACTGTTAAAAGTACATAAGAACATTAAAGAAATTCCCAAATCTGGAAGAGAAAATAAAATACTTCCGAAAAGTGAGTGAGAGGCCAAATAGGTAAGTGGGTGGTACCAGAACAGAGGACTTTACTACATCTGATCATCCAAGGAGCAGTTAATGATTTATTACTTTACCTATTCAAATCAACTGAACAGTTCAAATCACATATAAAAAACGGACCAAACGTCATGTTTCATCAGATATGAAAGAAAAAACGATCAAGAATAGATCGCAGAAAAACCTAAACACTGTAAGAGAACAAATCGCTAAATTCGAAAAAAAAAACAGAATGGACCGTTACGATTTCTTTGATGGAAAAAACGTATTCTCAAAATTCGAATGTTCTGGAACTAACGCAACAGCTCTCTACCCTTTCATCGGAAGAGATTTCTGAGGCATATTCTGTTGGAATGGGTGGAACATCGTGGAAACAATAAGTCTACAACAATGCAAAACAAAAAGAACCTGAAATGGAATGAAAATCGAAGAAATTTTTAATGAAAGACCTTTAAGTGATGATCAAGTTACTCACTGAGGTACAGCACAAAGTTGTGGTTGTTGTTTCAATATATTATACATGGGATTTTGGAAATCCTACTTACAATTAATTACAAGTTCGGAGATTTCCACTGCAAAGAGCTCCATAGCTTCGATACAGTTCTGCATGACCTGAAGAGGCTTCACCAAACTTAGCCACCATGAGGTCGAAATGGTTGGGCGGATGTAATCTAAGCGACCGTCCCTCCTTTTTCCTCCAGTAGAAGGAACCAGCGCTAAGAAAACCCCGCAATTCGATCCCAACGGAGTCCAGAGATCCGGAGCCAATCACTCCGCCTATGATCAAGATGATAGAAAACACCCAAAAGGTGTTTAAAGGCACAGGTCAGGAAATGGTGGTTCCGGAGATTTGCATATAGTTTGAATTCGAAGCCCCCTCTGATACCATTTGTGCAGGAATGAGGTCGAAAATCGTTAGAATAGGGCACAATTAGGGCAGGAACATTGGGGGACGTCAGGGCTCCGCCCATCGCTAGGCTGACTACGCGTTCGAATTTTCCTTCACCACTTTCGCATTGGAGCGAAGTTGGTGGAAAATCGATACGCT